AGAGTTCTCGACGGCATTGCAACGGAGTTGCTCTTATTGAATGGCTCCCTAGCAGGCATGATTTCTATTAACTACTAGTAGCTTCAATGAGGGAGAATGCTAATCGAATGCCTGCTTAACTATTAACTGCATTGACATTTATTAAACTCGACAAACAGGTTTATTATTCCAGAGTGATTGCAGAAGGGCAGAATATAATACATAAGATATATCGTCAGAAGATACAATGGGACAAGATGGTTCCTGAGTCTTTACTCGGTCTTCTTTGCTTGTTGACCCACGGTGGCGGCAGTTGACATTGTCTTCTCGAGATTTGATGCCCACAATGCCGCGCCAACAGTATTTGTATATGCCAGTGCGAGCGAGGCAAAGGGGACGATCTCAAGGATAAATGCAGCAGCCCCGAAGCTATCACTGTGATTAGCAAGATTCCCTAGCAAAGGTACTGTTCATCTACTTTACTCACCTTGCATACGCCGCTCGATTCTTCCGGAGCCACTCCTCCTTCTCCTCCGGACGCCATCCTTTGAGCTCAAAGTACCTCAAATGCGCAACATTCCCAATCCTCCTTCCCTGCGCAGCGAGGTACATCAAGCTCCCCACCACCGGCACAAGATTCAGCGGCAAATACACCAACGAGCGCACCCACGCCGACACAATGCCCCCCCCTTCCCCGCCACCCAACCGCCTCCTGGCCACCCTCCCCAGCCTCGCAATCGGATCCCCCGCCGCGCCAGACCCATCCAGCTCCCTACCACGCGCCACGAGCGCCGTCTCCCCGCGCGACAGCAGTGTGCCGTCAAACGTGTCGGTGAGGGAGTCGCGCAGGATCCACGAGCGGGCGAAGAAGTTGATGATGGAGGAGCTTTCGCTGAGGACGAGGATGGCGGCGGAGAAGGGGGCGAGGGGCCCGGAGGTGAAGGCGAGCAGGGCGGTTTGGGGGATGTAGGTGAGGAAGAACATGGAGGTGGTGACGGCGATGGAGAGGGTGAGGGTTGGGGCGAGTTTGGAGAGGAAGGGTTTCCAGAGGGAGTGGTGGGTGAGAAGGTAGATGATGCCCTTTTTTTTTCGTGGTGAAAAGTTAGGAGATGGGATGTAGGAATAGGGGGTGATTCACTGATTTGGGGGGTGCTGGTACCTTGAATGGGTAGAGGTAGGCGCCTGAGCGGAGGCCGTCTTGGACGAGGATGCGCATGGTCCTGAGCTCGTCGAGGGCGAGGGACTTGATGCGGTCCATGATGGGTTGGTGGGCGGTTGAGGCTGACATTGATGCTGCTCTGTGGTTTGCGGTTTGAAAGGTGGAAGTTGTCGGTTGAGGGACAGATGGTCCTAAATGGATAGTTTCCTGTCGTCCTTGATCGTTCTTATACAACGCCTTGGTTGCCCGGTGATGATGTCATGGGCCGGTGTCGCGTGTGTGGATGCAAGTCCACTTGGACGCGGTCTCGATCGCGGTCGGAAAATCAAGAGGGAAAACAGATGAAATGGAATGAATACACTCTCATTTTTGCCGCTTTTATTTAGACATTGGTAAAGACCATGTGTGATAGTCCCATGTTGGACAAGTTCCCGTAACCTATTACTCCAGATAGAAAAAAAAGCTGTCCCCTGGTCCCTGGATCGACTCCTATGCGATTACTTCTGGGACACCAAAACGCCTGTCCTACCGAGCGGATCATTATATACCAAACAATGCAGAGGATGGAACAAAAGAAAAGTAAACAAAGGAGGGTTAAAGTATTAGCTGGAAGAAAGGGGAATTGTGGAGGCGAAAGAATCATTCAGTCAACGGTTTCTATGAGATCCTGTATGTCTAGGCTGATGCCACATTGAATCTCCACTCAATGCAGACAAACTTAGATTTGCAAGGTTTCTCCAACTCGAGGGCGCCGCCGCATGTCTACGGGAGCCATCGAGCAGAGATGCAGATGGACTAACCCCGCGCTCTAGATCCGAGTCCAGATCTTCATCGGGGATAGGAACTGCTGAGGTTGGGGAGTCATTACGAGTTTCGGCGATACGCGCTTGGCCATCGTCCGACATGGGCTCTGTCTGTTCCACACGAGTCCCTGACGTATTGGGCCCAAGGGAGCGGACGACGTCGCCCTTGCAGATCGGGCAAGTGCGTCGGCGCGTTGTGAGCCAGGGGGTTCTAGGAAATTGTCAGCAGCAGCTTTCGTAGATCGGTTTATGTTGTAAAGCTTACATGCACTCTACGTGGAACTCATGGCCGCAAGGCAAGCTCATTACTCGGCTCTGTCCATCGACATACTCTTCCAGGCACACGACGCACTCAACCTGTCGTCCTGTGTATTTGCGGCGCCACAATGTTGATCCGGAACGGGGTTTCTCTGCCCTGTCCCGCCCAGGATCCAAGGAATTCGAAGAAGCAGAGACGGGCCCACAAGTTTGCGAACGAGGCCGAGGGCGTGGAGAATGAGGTCGAGAATGGGAAAGTAACGGGGACGACGGCGATGAACCGTCAGGAGAAGGTGTATTGGGGGTGCTAATGGTGGGCATTGTATGATAGGTTCTGACAGGGAGACGATCGACAATGGCCTTGGGAGCGCGCCATCGACGACGTCTGATTCGAGATCGGAGCAAAAGAAGCGCATAAACCACGGTCAACGTGATCAACGGACTAACCACCAGGACCAGTAAAGTATCGAAGAATGGGCTTGTGGACATGCTCGTTGGGGTTAGTGTCACCCACAATCCTTCATGATCGTTTTCGTCCCCATTTCCGGCGTGTCCCTTCCCTACAGATCCAGCGGCGCCATGGAATTGTTTGGCTTCAGGGGGAATTTCGATAACCTTTGGTGCTGGTGAATTATCACCCTCCTTTGATCCATGTAGCCGAAAAGACGGTTTCCACCAGGGACTCTTGAGGCCTCCAGTCTTTATGTTCTTTCCGGGTCCATCCAGGCTATCCTTTGCGGATCTGTACTCCCCGCTTCTCGGAGTCGTACTGCCTCCTTCCAGGCCACGGGGATCTGAGGCTTGTTTGAAAGTGTATGCTTTGGATCCTGTCTCACTCCTGGTTTTAGCGTTGGCCTTTGGGGTTGCCGTGCCCTGGACGCTGGTGCTAGCCTTAACCGGCACCAAATCAGGGTCACGCCAGTCTTGAACACCAATGACAAAATCGTCATGGCTTCCGGGTTGCGGAGTATTTGGAGTGTTGCCAGCGGGTTTATCAACGTTTGTGTGCTTGTCAGACTTTGCTTCCTGGCCGGGCGAGTCAGGCAAAGGCCAATCGAGATTTCCGCTACTAGGTGGGCGGCGGCTATCCTCGTGGACATTCGAGTGGTAACCATTTTGGTCGGAGAATCCAAGGAACGAGGCAAGAGATGCGAAGAATCCGTTATGAGCCGCTTTGGGAGCATCGGTTTCGGGCTTCGCCGGTTGGGTCGGACTTTGGCCTCGACGCACCCCTTTACCATTGCAGTTTTACCATTCTTGAGATTTAGTTTTCTTTGAGTTGTTTGCCATTTCCCAGACGCCAGTTTTGAGTTGTCAAGAGTACTGCCCTGTGGGACAAGAGAGGAGAGAAGATGGGCGGTCGTATAAGAAGTAAAAACCGCAGGAATCGTCACGTTTGACGTGTCGCCACGCGCATACATCGTAACCAATCCACCTCCTCGGGTGTCATCCCCAACAATCAAGGCAACGCCTCCTCTGCGCTGCACCCATTTGACCTTTTCAAGGAATCCACATCCACCTCTGCTTAGAAGAACGACTTTGCCAGAGATTTCCGCGCTTTCCTGCAATGACTGGATGTCAGCATGAGGAGAATCCCTGGGTTTTCCATTTGCGCGACCCGTGACACCATTTCCGTTCGAGTTTGGGGCATTTGCTTGCGGCAGCGGGCGGTGGAGGTGATCGTCCGTTCCATCGCCCTGACTATTCGGACCACCAAGGCCTCTTTTCTGTCGAGAATTCAAAGCAACGCTATGATCAGAATCTCCATCAGCAGGAGCGAGCTTTTGATTTCCATCCTGGGGTCCGGCCCCAAGCGGCACGTTTTTATTTTTGTTGCCATCGTCCCATCCAGGAACATCCGAGCATCCCAGTTCACCCTCGGCGGCAATCCCTACGCCGCCCTTCCGTAACGCATCGTCACTGAACCCACTCCCAATCCATAACGGGCCACTGAGCCCCTTTAATGGTAGTAGGGGTCCAAAGGCCGCGGGGCGCGCTAGGAAGAAGGTAGAATTGTCTTCTGTCAAGCTGATAATCGCAGAAGGAGGGAAGAGCGCGGACGGTGCGTGAAATGAAAACAGGGCTCGAAAGCGGCTCGTTTGGCGATGGGAATCAGACGAGGTAGCTGCGGTACCATGTCGGGAGCTTGCGGAGAGCAGGGATATGGCTGTGAGGAGGATTGGGATGAAGACAAAGCAGGCAAGAAGCAAGATCAATCGCGGCGGTCGCATCGTGTGTGGGCAAGGTAAATCGATTACAGACGGTATTTTGGATTGGACAAGATCAACAAGTCCTCGAGGCCGCTGGGCGTGTCGAAAGCGCAGTTCATCGAGTGCGCAAGGCAAGGGGGGTTCAAAGTGCTTGAGCAGCCACGGCCTGTAGCTCAAACACACAGCAAGAATCGAAGACAGATCGCAGCACCGCTTCAGGACTGACGGGCAGTGGAAGAGCTGGTCCAGAGGCTCCCGACGGCGGCAGCAGGAGGAGCATGGTTCTCGAGAGGAGTTGCAGGTTGACGGCCGCAAATCTCGCGGATTCACTCTGGCACCCTCGCGTGTTTCCGGCGGCTTGGCGCCCTCGGCGTGGCTGACTCAGCGGGCTAGCGCAGAATTGGGCTTGGCGGCGTGACGTCATGGATGATATTCAGGGGAAGAAGCAGAAGATGAAGATGAAGATGAAGAGATGATGAAGATGGAGCTGTAATTCTGGTCTCTACTAAGTTGCTATCCAATGTCACAAATCACAAAGCCGTCATCATGCACCAGATCCATCAATATCCTTCCTAGATAGACGGCAGTAGGAAATGCCCATTCTTAATCCTAGCCATTAGTCCACATACCTGTCTCAGGATACCAAACCGCAGAACCGCTTACCTCTCCCAGGTGATCACACTCGCTCCGGTCCTTTGCACTCGCAGCGGTGTTTGCTGCCATGCACTCGGGTTTCCACAGCGTATGGGAGGATATCTCCTTCACTGTCTCTGCCGACAGCTTCAGCGCGCTCGTCTCCGCAACCATCGCGGTGTCAAAGCTCCAGTTCCGCCAACAAACATCGTCGAAAACGATGGGGACACCGTGCTCATCCTTGCAGGCAGTGGGGCTCCGGCGAATCTCTTCCAAAAAGTCCTCATCAAAGCCATCGCTCCTGACAGACGGTGTATTTGGGCAAGTCCGGTTTGCAAAACCTTTGAATGGATGTGGTGAAAGTGGTTCCAAGTACGCCGTGCTTGTCTCCATGTCAAACCAGCGGAGGTGGGTCGCGCGGTAGTCTTGCCCATTTAGCATATACTCATTCTTTGCCCGCGCAGCCCGTTCCGCGGCTGTATCTGCATCCCCGTTTGATGACAGATCGGAATCGCCGTGGCTTGACGAGTCATAATATAAACAATCCTCCATGTTTATGATTTGATGCGGAGGAGTGAATGGCGCAATTGAATATAGCTTTGAGCCGGGCGGCCTCTCTTTGATACCCTGTTCGGGCTGGGCGTTTTCCTGTGGGGTTGGGCTGATAGGGTCAAAGCCGGGGAAGGGACCCAAGCCTGGGGGAAACTTAGGGGCCTGACGGGCATTGACATCGACAGGTCCAGCATCCATTAGCACTGTTTCAGAGCCCGAGATTCCAGAGTGAACAGAATATCTGAACGGAGACGACGCCGCTGAAGTGGTTGATGAGCTAGGTTGACGCTCACGATCATCAGAACCTTTTCCAGTTTTGGCCGCATTTATGGAGGGAGTAAAAAGGGCTGGATTGCCCTTGCTGAACGTTTTCGCTATTGCTATCAGTGAATAGCTTATTATATTCACAGAATTGTGCGCTCACATGTTTTGTCTCCCGTGACGGAAGAGCCATCTCGCACTCCCCCTTTCTTTGGTCCCCGGATCGTACAAAAGTACTGACGTCCATATTCTTGCCCCAAGAAACACAGAAATATCATAGCCAAGATGGTAAGAGGCCGCTCTGCCGATGACTTCCCCGCCAGCCCCAGTGTAACTGGGTATCGAACGAATTTTCTGATAGTATCTCGGACTATGGAGCAAATCCATTTCGAGACTCGCAATCTTAGTAGCAAACGGAACCATTTTAGTAGTGTTTCCATGGCCATAGAAGCCTCGACGCCGATATAGCGGTCCCAGTTTTATCAATATGGAAAATGCATAAAGTTCCCGCCCCTCTCGATCCCTCTGTTGGGAAGCATTAGATGCTCATGGTGCAAACACCAAAAGCTTCAACGACATGCCATTTTATTTAAGGATAGGCATGTCATCTATTGTGTTTTCGGGAAGACGAAGGCAGGAGAACTTTGTTCAAAACAATGGGAGTTGTTAAAGGGAGACAATGTTTTCAATAGAAAGCATCTGGAGCAACAACAGAAATCCCAGTGAGTGCAAAGGGTTGCTTCCCTCTGGCACGGTTAATCTCATGACGGCAAGACAATCAATGAAAAGAGTCATTGTCCATTGTTGCCCGTCAAAGTTAACTTGAGACAGGTAAATACTTAAAGCACACTCCAAGATTGCAAATCTTGGAAATACAAATCGCAATGCGCCGATATATGGGTGGTACCGTGATGGACTGGAAACTGAAGATAAGAATCACTTTTTGAAACAAAGCTGATAATGATAGCAATGTAGAAAAGGCTCATGCCCTGTAGTCAGAAATGAGAAAGTTCACATTAGCCCAGTGCCATCTGGGTGCAAGGCACGAACAGTTCTGGCACAAACTGGCTTTATTTTCCTGTTCTGGATGAAGGATGCATATGCCATGATGAGTAAATAGCAATTTATTAGCTTAGATCACTTACACATAAGCTGTTTGTGACGAGCAAGCCGTCAAGGCTTCACATGGTACGCTTGATCCAGTCAGCTCAAATAAAGGCCATTCATCGCAAGCAGGTTTGTAATCACTCTAAATCCATCAAACTGCTTTGGTCCCTGGAGACCACGGGAAGTATCCGAAACCTGGTGATGAGCTAGCCTCACTTTGAAAGGATGCATTTTGGAGGCATATCTCACCCCAGAGGCTTCGTGGTATCTTGCGTAGTAGGATGAAGATCGAACCTAGGGTGTTTATGCCACCAATCAAAAATCGGGGATTGCGAGGCATTCTTGTCAACTGCACGTTCATCTTGCTCCCGTTCGCGATGAGGCCATAGATGAGTAAAGTGCATTGGAAGGTGGAAGCTAACTTGTGATGGTGAACATTGTTGTATCAGCTGGAGTCGTCGGTTGGGTTTCGGCGTCGGGCCATCAAATCTTCCATCTGCGTTGACGCTCGACTTCTGCCATCTTCGCTTCTGTGCTGTAGAAGGCATCCAGGCATTCTCCAGTTCTTAATGTTAAGCCGCTGCATCAAGATTCTAGACATTTATGTCTCACGATTGGCCTTGATCAAGGCTCTTCACGGGTCAAGTCTAGAGGATGGCCCTGCTCTATATCCCGTCGGCTTTGTGGTCTTCAGAGCTTTCTGGGACACCTTTTTCTCTATTCTGTTCGGGAATGGATTTGGATTTTTTGAATACTGCCGGGTGTCTCCAGGATGTCTTATTTGAGTGTTGGCATAGGCCTCGACCCAGGAAGGGCGGATCGGTTTAGCTACGAGTCTTCCAAAGGACCTGGTTCAGAGGGGAGTTAACCCAACAGGAACTTCTCCTGCAACGGATGTAGACAATATACTCAACTGAACTGGATGCACTCAAGCACCATGACTGCTGGCTGATTGCGCTGCTGCTATTAGCCCCGTGTATCCTATGCTCCCGAGCAGCAGTGGGCTCCCCTTCGCCATGGTGCATATCAGGACTCTCCGTCCTCTGTGCCCACTCCAGCCAGAAGGGATTCTCGTCTGTCTGCTGCGTCTCTCGGTTTCAAAATCATACCCATCTCAAAACGCACCCAAGCATAAGGTGCTTTGGCCATGGCAAATAGAGCCATAGTAAGAGGCGTCAGCCAGACCCATCTGCAGTTTGACTGGCTTCCCTCTGCCAGGTCATATGCCTGTGAAGAGCCCATTTGCCGTGTGCAGAGCCAAAACAGCCATGACAATGCCGGCTTGTGGAGTTCTTCAGCGTGCCCGAAGCGAAAGCAGATGTATGCGTTTGTGTATGATCACCGCATGAACATCACGCTCAACGCCGAGCACCCCTCTTTGGCTGTTGGGGCACACCCAGATGACAACGACCGCTTCATTTCTCTTCTTCTTCTTTTTCCTCTTCCTCTTCCTCTTCCTGTTCTGCTCCTCTTGCTTTCGCTCTATATTTGTTGCAAATACCATGCAGCTTCCAAGCATGCGCATAAACATCCTCTGAACGGACCGGATAACATCCCAGAAGCTGATTTCTGGAGACCTGTTCATCCAGCTTTCGTCGGATCTCACTTAAATCCAAACCCTCATTTGTTTCTTCTTGCCTTATGCCCTCTTCATGCGATATCACCTTCGAGTCTACTTTGTCCTCTAGCTCCAAAGAGCCAGAAGATAGCTATTTTCCTGCTCCTCGACAAACCGGCTTTCAAAATCATCTCCTAAGCTTCCTATCTGCAAGGCTGAGCTGGATGCAGACAGTGCAGTACCATTGTGAGATTCTCTGCAGGCTACTTGTTTGGGATTTGGCATGCTCATATCGTCATCGAAGTATCTAGTTTTATCTCAGCACATCTATTGCCTGCCATAGATCTCTAGATACGTTGGCTGCGAATCACTGTGACAAGGACTTCGAGGAAACCAGAGTTCCAATGGATTTTCGCCATACCAACACTCGCCTTACGCGATCATCGTCCCGCGTTTTGGGGACTATGCGCACTCCACCCAAAGCCCACCCTTTGCGAAATGTGACTACAATTGACGCTGACAACGACCGGGCCAACTATGCTTTTGGTCCTCCGCCTTATCCTGGCGTACACTGGCAGAATGTCCAAATCGCACATCCTAGCATGCAAGTTTCACCAACTCGCCCTTTACAGCTTTCCCTCGACCAAGTTCCATATCAGCTTACGGCTGTCCCACGATTGGCTCCGCAAATAGTGCACACTACACCCCGACTGATGGGTCCCCAAGATATTAGCCCCACGAAGCATGAAGAGAAGCTATTGTCGCGTGGAAGGCAATGTGCTTTTTCACCCGAGGGCAATATGCATCTTTATTTGAGAAATGCAGGAGATAGAGCAGTCAACCCAGAAAATCAGGGAGGAAGCCCATCATACCGCAGAGCTCCCGCTGAAGTTGGACGCTCTCGTTTTCCAAGCCATGATGCTGCCCTCGGCCACGTCCATCCTTCCGCTGCTACAACCTTCAGCACCGGTGCCGAAATCTCGCATTCTACCGGCCAATTCATGAGTCCCCAGTACATGGGACACATAGCAGCAAATCCACATGCTCATACACCATTCCACGATAGCAGTGCTCAGCAAAATCCCCATACCAGTTCGGTGGTTTCTCCTTCAAATTCTAAAACTCAGGCTTCTTCTCGGATGGTGGCCATGGTTGAAAACCCATTAGCTGGAGCTGTCGACATCGGAAGGTACGGTTTCAATGCTGCGGCCCATTCCACGACCGATCCTACTTTGCTGATGGGATTTTCTTCCGGATCCATTCATGACCCGTTTGTGGTCCATTTTGAGCCCACTATATCCCGCGAGCCTCAAAACATTGCGAGAACCGAACAATCCGGATTATACGATATTTCTAGACAATTCACAATGCCGTATATGGGTTACCCATACTATGCGAACTTATTTCAGGACGGCCAGAGATATGGAATGGGCGCCTCTCAGAACATTCAAGATTTCCAGATGGTGCAGGCAGTGATGCCGTCTGGAGTATGGGATGTTCCTATCTCCGTGAAGCCCCCTGAGCACTCCCAGCCTGCTTATCAGCAACAAGGCTCTCTAACCCCTGTTCCCTGGCCCGTCAGCCCGGCTCCCGAAGAAAGCCCAAAACATCAAAACACTCATAAGGAGCAAACCGGGGCAGAAGTAACCAAACCACCCCCCAACATCCCAGGAATCCTTCTCTCTGAGCTCCTCGCCGGCATTCCAGATCCCGGATCCAGCCCCAGGGTCGCCGAAACCCTTTCCTGGTTCACCACCGACGGCCGTGGCGAAGACCATCTCCGTCAACAGATCGACGCCATCGCCAAGGAAGACCGCGAACGACGAGAGCGTGAACAGGTCGAGCAAGGATTGTCTCCGACAACAAACACCAAGGCTGAGGCAAGCAATTACATCCTTGGTCACGTCCTTGCCAATCTCCAGTTATATCTAGCTGGGGATCGGACCGAACAGGCTGCAAACTTTGCCGATTGGGCTCCTGTGCCAGAGCAGCTGCACAGTGGTGGTTCTGGACCCTCATTCAACAGTCCACTTTGGACCGGAATGGAAGCCCTTCCACCTGCGAAAACTCCAAGGA